TAGCAAAGATAATTACCTGGAAAAATAGCTTTAGAGAGGCAAAGCAATTCAGGCTTTCATTAGTATTCCCCATGCACGTCTATTCCACTACAGACAACTGCATAATTCCAAAAGATGAAAGCCAAAAATGTCTGAAAGCCACTCTATTTCACCCCCTTTTTGACAAACCACAAAAATGAGCTGCGCTGGAGCACTTGACTCCAGCAAAAAGCAAACATTTGTTGTTTGAAATAACATCGTGACAGGCATTAATTATCCCCTTTATGTTGGCTTTTTGTTTAGCAAAACACCAAATTCTTCTGACAGGAAAGACACAAAGACAAAGCTATAGAGGTTCAATCGAAATAGTTCGCTTTTTCTTCTCAGATAAATAAGGTGTTTAAATGCAGGACACTTTACTGTTGTGCCTCCTTTGACCAAAATGACACATGAAATTGATGCACTCTTGTCCGAACTTGTTAAAACACAGCAGCAGTAAACTCTTTACTCCTCTGAGTGATGCAGTCCCCAACAAAGCCGATCGAGTGTAAATATGTCAACTTGTTCTGGCCATAAATTACAGTACCGTGGCACAATCTGTGTGATAAAAGCCAGAGCACAGCGAAGGAATGCATTATCACTCCGACTCTGGCCAAATTCTCATCAGGGATGTAATGGATATACAAATGGACAGATGGGATAATATAGCACTCACATAAAGCGATGGTCAAATCCTTTTACATCTAACTACCCCATTTACCCCATTTACCTTGAAAAAATTGATTGCATAAAAAGCAATTGAGCAAAAACAAAAAAAAAGGTTTTATTTCCGTCAGTTGTTTGACCGGCATTGCCAAAGACCTCTCTGCCTTGGAGGCAGCAGGACTGTGCCAACAAGCTGTTCATCTGCCTGTTTGACAGACAAAAGGGCGGTGAGAAGAAGACAGCAGAGGAGGCCAAGAGGGAGACAGAGTTTGGCATGCAGAAACAGAGGCTCTGTGATTGAGTCATGAATTCAAATTGCAACACCAGGTCAGAGACTGTGAGGACAGACGGGAGTGTGAAAAGGGCACTAATGAATCTAAGCCCTTCATTGACATCTTTGTTCGGGTCCAATACCAAAGGGAACTGTAACATCACTGGGGGAGCCCTTCTGTGGAAGTATCTGTGCTCTCTTTGCTCGTCACTATATTAATCAAAAATGAACAAAATCAAAATCTGACTCGTGCTAATTTGTCTGGTCGCTCTCCTTGTAATAACCTTTACTTGTAATAACCATTACAAGGTTTATACATGAATGAATGCACTGTCTGACTGTCTGAAAATTTGCCAAGACACATGACCCATAAAATCATTACATTACTTAAGCAAGGACGAGGAGCGAGCAGAGGTCTGGTACACTCTTTCTGACTTCGTACCCCCAGATTTGTTCCTTTTTCTCATTTCCAAACTTGTGAGATTCTAGATCATTTTGCATAAGAACAGGATTGTTTAAAAAAAACTGAACACTGTACCGAAGGAGGACCATGTGTCAACCAAAAATTGATAAAACTATTTCTGGCCCTCTCCTGTCATCATTAGCTAATTTCAGTCAGTCATCATTAATTTTAATCACCAGTTATGACTTCCATTCAATGCTCAGTTTATTAGCGCTCATTATTCTATTCTGAAATAGAGTATCTGGCTGGTGTGTTGCAGAAAACCACCTCTTTGTCAGATCTCCCACACTCTGATATAAAGAGACCACTAACGACCGTCCCCCTCCATCTCTGCCCTCTTGCTGCTCCTTTGAGGAGCCATAACCAGTGACGTCCTCTGCAAATGAGATCGGATAATGAGCGCTTGTTTTGTCCTCTTGCTTCTTCCTCGGACTATTTGAGCTATCATACAAATGGCGCCATGAGAGTCATTATTGAAGATAGCTGCTTTGTAGATTAATTATATATGCAGTAGCATTGACTGCATAGCTTTTATTCTTGTGCATTAGGGAGTTTCTCGAGTAATCAATTGATTGTTTGGTCTATAGTGAAAAAATGTCAATCACAATTCCTCCGAGCCCAAGTCGACATATTCAAATGTCTTTTGTTTTATCCGGCCAACAGTCCAAACCCCAAAGATATTCAGTTTACTATCATGGAACATAAACTTAAGAGAAAATGCTCATATTTGAGAAGCTGGCACCAATGAATGTTTGCCTAAAAAATGACTTAAAAAGTTGAATCCATCATCAAACTAGTTGCTACTGAATATAAATATATTTCAAACAATATTGTTTGTGGTGCGCTTCCACAGTCAGATGGAAGAGTCATAACAGATAAGCGTTGAGGTAATATGCGCATCTATAAAGTATTAAACGCCTCTGCAGTCAGAGACACACTGCAACTTGGAGTCAGCAAGACCTCAGCATGAGACTTTGATGAGGGAAGAGACAAAGATCAAGACCTTTCTGGTTCATGAATCTTTTACAGGCAACTGAAAGATTAATAATGCTCTTAAAATGCTTCCACTGCAGATGAGCTATATAGAGAAATATCAAACCCATAAATCAGCAAAACATTTTATCCGTACAAGACTTTGTTACACCAAGCATGTTTGCAATAGTTTCAACTCTACATGTTGACTCTTTTGGGTGCAGTGACAGAGATGTGGAGGTCTGAATGCCTAACATGCCTAGCGTGGCAGAATGAACCAACTCCAATCTACTGTCCGGACTAATCAGAGATATTCCAAAGACATGTAGCTGTTGCTTTATGTGTTTGTGAGTGTAGTGAACACCATGTGACCTTACTGGTCAAAATGTGCACTGGGATATCAGATTTATAAATTCTGACTGCACATCTGTAGTTCATATAAGTTTTGACACTTTTCACAATTCTGGGTGTTTTTGTAACTGTGTAGTTTAAAAAAATATGGTTTAAAATATTTCTTAAAATTTGTGTAACACCCTCTATCCTCACGCCCTTGATTCAGAGAAGGGAACCCCCTTGGTCTTTTTATGGGGACAGTAAGACAAATAGCAGATTTATCCTCAAGGCTGAACAAATCAAAATGTAAACTTTTCCACTGATCACACCGACACGCAATCTGCCCTTTTCCCGATATCTGACTAAAAGCAACGTCTCACATTTACTTTCATTTCATCAAATGATTTGTCATGATCGCTGAACTTGAAAGCATTTAATTGCTGGAACGTGCAGGTGATAAACACCACCGTGTATAACGACACCCGTGTGTAAAGAAACTGTATGGCATATGGACATCAGCCACATGCGCTGAACTGAGCTCAACACACTGGCAATACCAATAGCACTATGAATAGCATTTCACTAAAATAATTCTCAAAAGTGCTGTTTGTCAGATGGAACGGCGGAACCCCGAGGCATTTTACCTTGCTGTAAGAGTGTATAAATAGCTGTTTATTGGGGTAAGCAGATGCTTCGCAGTCAGATGGAGTCGCTCTTTTTTTTCTGCGGTGCAGATGGGGACCATATACTCTAGTTCCTGCTGCATCAACCACACTTGCCTCAAACTGAAAGTAATCAGGGTGATCTGGTTCTCCTTGAACGCACGGCATCTGGCCTCCACCTGTCTTCTTTCCAATGCAGATTTTAATGGGAAATGATTTTTGGCTAGACGCAGCATGTCCTTACATCATTGGGAATATAGCCTCTCATTGCTTTGATAGCAGCTGCAGTTGCTGTGAAATTTGTCATAGATGAGTCAGTTTGATCACACAAAAATCTCTGTTTCCCATTACCCGAGCATTTTCAGAGGCCGAGCATAATACACGCTTTAAGTCAATATCTAAGCTATTTTTCTGCTTGGCCGTACAGTGCTGCAGGGCCACAGCCGTTACATGGTCGAGATCCAGAGGAGTCCAGGCTGAAGGACTTGGCCAGACATGGACCACATTCTACATATCTACTATGCATAAAACTCTGAAAAATTTCAAAAAGCCTTCCTAAAGAGTGTTGCATCTTTCATTATTGATCCATGTTTAGGTTTACCGCTCCAGAGGCCCAGGGTACACAGCAACACTCCTCCAGATAAGCGCCTCAGTTTGAAGTCTCTCTGAACAACAGGCCTTGAAATTGAAATCCTATATCGTCCGGCTCGTGCGTCCACATGGGAGGAAGCCAGGTCATTTCTATCAGCGTCAGACCAGGTGGCGCCGAGACCAAATATCAGCTCAACAACTGCTCACTAAGAGCGCTCAGCTTAGTTAACCAGCTCCTGAAGAGAGTCACTGTGCTGCATATCAGCTCAATACCTGAACTCCTCTTCAGCACTGAGTCATATGTGCCCAGTGCTGCCTCTGCTCTGCTTACACTGCTACAGTTATAAGAGATAACATGGTTTAGAATAACAACAGCAGATTATCTAAATTCATGCTTTGGACTCATCTCAATCAACGCCCAGCATCACTCTGGCGTCAATACGGAGCAGGACACGTTCGGAGCATCGGCACAAACATCTTAATCATGACAACAATTCAACTAGTGTGTACGTTTCACCGCTCACACATGAAACATTATTTCATACATGATTTCCTCCTTGTATCACCAGCTAATGAGCCAGATCCAGAAATCCCCATTGGCCGCGATATAGGTCAGGTCTGTCCACTGGGGCATGATGGCATGTTGCAGTACTGTATTCCCCGTTCAATGCATGTGCTATGAGATGTGATTGATGTTCCTGATCCTTCACAGCAATCCTTATTATGTGCACTTTGCAACCTGACAAACTGAGGCAGCACTGAGGGGCACATAATGTGATGCACGATACACTGGAGCAGTAATACACTAGAATACTATTGAGTTGCTATAGGCTATTAGATACCTGACTATTGGGGAAGTGGGCAAAACCTGCTCAAACAAGGGGGCTTTTGTGTGATGCTGTGACATTACCTGTCTTAACACAATATCCATTTTTCAGTCGTTATAATATTATATAATATTATATTATATGTAATGAAATCTACAAATAAAGAAAAAAGAAAAAGAAAGATCAATCATACTCACCCAAAATCCCGACGACAAAAAGTTTCAGTACTGTGAACTCATTTGTATCCATCACGCTGCGGGAATCCAGTCGGACTTTGATATTGAAACCTCAACTGCAGCTCCGTGGTAATGTGCGTTTGAAGCGAACCATTATTAAGATCATCCCGAATGTGCAAGTCCGAGCTCCGTCATGCTCTCGTGAGCCAAGATAAATTATTGAAGGATTCGGAGGGGGTGGGGGACCGGACCAAAAAAACCAACCAACAACAACAACAGAAATCTGATCCAAGAGCGTGATTTCTGACTGTCCTCGTGGTGATCGCGACCACTTCTGTCTGCAGTCAGAAGTCCGAGCTCAGGACCACTCAACACTGTCCTGCATCCTCTGTGGGAGGACAGGGGGGGAGGAAGAGGGGGAGGAGGAGGATGGTAGGGTTCCTCCGAAGCACTACTGGATTATGTTTACCGAGTCAACCCTTTCATCCTCCGCATGAATTGGAGACATTTAAATGTGATAGAACCCAACATGTAACAGTGGAAAAAAGGCTTACAGTAGCGTTTTTCTCTGTCTTTTATTGTTATTGTATAGACATCTGAACACATGCACAAACAACTAAAATCAATAAACAGTCAATTACAAACAGTAACATATCAATTTTCTGCAATTATAAATTGCGCTGCAATAAAACAATGTCAATATCATTATTATGATATCACTGTTATATAATTATGATCTATGATCACCTAGATTAATCTGTCAAAATGAATCGATGAACTGCTGTTTGTTGCAGTTTTTTTTTCTGTGAGACAACACTGACCTCGTCTGGTGTATTTTTAAATTGCACCTCGATCAGACCACAGACCAGCTCAAATCTGCCCAGATTAAGCACAGCAATCATAAACGCCTTCATAAACATCACTGCAACAGCTCAGATCATTTTAATCCGCATTAAATTAAAATGACTGCGCACTTCTTTTTAACCTCCTTCATTTTATCTATTTATCTCATTAATGTTTAGCCTGGAAAAAAAACTTCATTAAAGGATAGGTTCACTATTTTTTTGATTTTATTTTGGAGTCTTAAAACGGTAGTCAGGTGACCATGTGTAAATTCCTCATGCTCATACTGGACATACAGAGATCCCCTCCTAACATGCTTCCAATGTAAGTGGTGGGAGACACAATCCAAAATCCTCATTCTGCACAGAACTGTATCCCAAACTTTATCAGTAGTTAATATGAGGCTTCAGCAGTCAGAGGTAGACAAATCAAATAGGAATCTTCCAAAGTTACAGTGTTTTCAGTGCAGAATTCCATCTTTGTGTCACAATCCCTTCACTGCAGCTCAACAAGGAAACACTGTTCAGGGAAACACGAGGGCATTTTGTACAAATAAAGTATGTAACTTTGGAAGATACCCATTTGATTAAGACTGTCGAAACCCCATGATAAAGTTAGACGGAGTTGTAAAGAAATGTGAACCTTTTCTTATATGGTCAACTCTCCGCATCTGATATTATTTCTCAGCAAAACCTTTAAACTTCATCCAACTCTAAAATGTCCCTGCATCACCTCTGATTCCCTCTGACTGCCCTGTTTAGTTTTTTTTATGTTCAAAACTCGAAACCTGCTGATGTGGTATTGACAACACTTTGATTTGAACACTAACAATGCATCCTTGCGGATGAATTCAAGTGGAAAACCCCCTCTTTATGCCAGCAGAAACAAAAGTAACAGTCAGAACAGGAAGGGGGCACTGTTCCTCGTCTTCGTGCAGAAACGGCATGAAGCCAAAGCTGCGGAGAGTTCCTGTAAAGTGGTGGAGAGCGTGAGTAGGCCCTACACTACTGATTATGGGGTTGATGTCTGAGGAATTAATTGTCTGAAAAAATAAATAATCTGAAAGCACCCAAGGCCATATTTCATTCCATTAGTTTTGAGATTAGGAGCTGGTAACTGTATGACATTGGAACTTGAGTCGTGTTGTGATTTCTGTATTGGCACATGTGCATCTTGTGATTTATAAAGTTTGTATTCAAGGTTTTGCACAAAACAAACAGATTGTCCTGAATGTTTAATTATAACGTGGGTAAATAATGTCTCTGTAGCCTAGCTAATTAAACACTTTGGGAATGTGTAGTTTGTCACAATGAATCTGTATCTCTTCCACAATATGGAAGCACCAATTAGCTGACGTGTCCTGACAAGGAAATGACCGAATGGGGGGAACTTTTTTGGAAAGGGACGCGGCCAGTCGTAATTATATAGTCGCACTGGTTCCGCTCACCTGACAATCAGGGGGTGTTGAACTTTCACCTCCATAGTGACACATTGACATAAACTGCCTGTCCGCAAGTCAAGTTGCGCTAAATTCCACACGACATGTTTTAAGATGCATCGTCTTGTCCGCCCGAATAGTGAAGGCTTACTGAACCGGTTTAAAATAGGATGTCAACAAGTGACGCAGGAGAGCTGGAGCTCAGAGTTGGAGGAGGAGAGACAGCAACGCCTCTGTACAGGACAACACGAGCAACCAAGCCAAGCAACGCATACTACAACTGCGAGGTAGGTGAAAATCTATTCTAACGGGTATTCTAACAACGAGTTTGTACTTATCCTGTATTCATTGTACTCCTTATCGACCTGTTATGTATGTTGCTTTGCACTTTTTATGTCTCCGTTTGCTTTCTGGAGACTTTTTTTTTTAGCAGCGGAGTTGTTCTGTTGAAGGGAGAGAACCCTACGCCGAACTGCGTGTATACATATGTGCGTTTAAGTTTTCAACGCGTGTCTGCAAAGATGCACGTCTCCCTCAGTTAAACAAAAGCGTCTCACGAATCATGACCATATTTGAGTATATTCGGCATTGAGCTTTTCCATTAATTCAACGTTTTACACTTGGTTCACCGCTCGACTCTGCCAACCACACTCTGTTTGAAAGCTTAAAGGAAGGTAATAACTTGTTGAGGGAGTCGAATTTGCACACAAATATGTTTAATATGTTATGTTGGATAAATAAAGGGGTCCTGTCGGTGGAAAGTAGCCGGTAACTGAACCGAACTTGTGTTCTCCTTGGTCTTGGTTTACGCAATTTGACAGATGTTTGAATAAGGTTTGGTTTGACATCTAACTCTTGTTTGCGTGACACATCTGGACTCGAGATAACTTTCAGATATTGAATATAGGAAATATCCAAGGAGATTCTGAACGTAGGTTTGGGACTGAGTACTGTGGCTATTATGTAAGCCCATCATGTATGAATGATGCGTTTATTACCAAACACTCATGGCCTCTATTTGTATGCATTTCCTCTACACTAAACAAAACACTGTAATCCAAATATGCCCACTGTAAGCCAGCATCATCAAGTTGACGTATTTCAGTGGCTTAGCAGGCGAGCTCATACACGCACACCCAGGCCTGCAGTTTAACAGAGTTACAGAGATACACCAAGCAGCTGCCTGGGCATGTTTGGAGCCCTACCTCTGTTGATTATCTGCACATCCTCCTGCTAATACCCTCTAAACCCACCTACTGTATACCCACCTATAGGCTCAGTAAATAAAAAGATCCCCTGGAAATCTGACAGACAATGAAGGTGTGGCAGCAAACAGAACAAGTTTCACGTTGCCCTGGCCTTTTTTGTTGCGGCTCATGTACTGCAAAGTCATTAAGTTCAATCATAAGAAGACGTTTAGGGTGTAAATCCTTTTTGTGTTTGTTGGAAAAAATTGCACGCATTTGCCAGTGTTGAGTACACACCCACACTGTAGTTCAGGCCGCATCCATTATGTAAGTGTTAGCTGGCAGACAGGGGCACACACCCACAGCGAGGCTGACATCAAGTGAAGAATACACCAACATACTTGTATGAGACACACTGGGCATAATAGAGCAGCCCAAAGAGCCTTCCTAAGATAACAATGATGCATTAAATCACAAACCATCAAAACAAACGGAGACACAGTTTCACACAGCCCAAATAGCATGCACGCTACATGGCTGCAGCGTTGACTGGAGGTTGCAGTTTGTTTATGTTTCGTCAACACAGGATTAGCATCACTAATGCCTTTAAGCTTTTAACTTGAACTACAAAATAAATAAAATCCGTACTAAATCATAGTGTGCCCTCACCACAACCGTTTTGGAAAACTAGTCCTTTTTAAAGTAGGGCTGCAACCATCAAAATATTTGATATTTCAATCTGTCAATTATTTTTCTCCAGTGACCGGTTATGTCTGGTAAATGCAGTAAAATGGAGAAAAATGGCCACTAGAATTTCCCAGAGCCCAAGCTGGCATTTTGAAATACTTTGCTTGATTGACTCGCGATCCTAAAGTCAAAGATAGAAGATATGCAATGATACAGAACAGCAGAAACAATCCTCACATTTTAGTATCTGAAACTAGAGAATGACTAAAAGCGTTTATCGATTAACAAAATGTTGTTGTTGATTGAATTTTTTGCCACTCAACTGTTATTCCCAATTGGTGATACTTGTACGACAGGAGTTCCTGCGGTAGTTCCTGAAGGGTACCTGGAGAGCTTGATGAGTAGCACAGCTAAATTAACAAAAATTATAAACTCATGATCAGGTATTTTAAACTTGGACTTCTCTATTTTCTGACATTTTATAGACCAAACGATTAATGTAGTAAATATCTAATGAGAATAGCCCTTAAATGCAAACTTGAAGATATGAAGACATATATTTATGTTTAGGAGGAAAATAAATCACGACCCAAATAGAATGACAAATCGGAGTGATGCTGACCTCCAGTATATTTGTCACACTAACCGATGACCTTACAGCTACGGCAGGCCGACCTGAGTCATTTTTAACACCAACTGTTACAGTTAATGTTGTTGTGCAATCAGACAACTCTAAAAGCAATGCCGCAACTGATAAATATTCAATATTGATTAGCCTGCTGAATATTTTCTCAATCAGGGGATTCGTCTTTTGGTTTTTACAATTTTAGGAAATAATTTATATTTCCCTAGAGCCTAAGTTGACATTTGAATAGCTGGTTTTGTTTGTTTTGGATTAATGTGTCTTTTATGTATTCACACCTGCAGCCACAAACCTACCACAGACGATGTGGTTGAAATGCTGTTAGGACTAAATCAATCACTCAATTGGTTGATTAATCATTCAAAAGAAAAATAATCACCAACAATTTTGATGTTTGATTAATCGTTGGTCATTTTTCAATTAAGAAAGCTTCCCAAAATATAACATTTTGCTGCTTTTATACCTTAACTTAAGGAATATCTTTGGGTTTTATACTTTTGTTGGACAAAACAAGCTAATTGAAGACGTCACAGAATTGTGATGGGCATTTTCTCACAGTTTTCTGACTTTCTTATGGACTGAACCACTTATCTTAAACTTCAGACTTCTGTACCTTCATCACCTAACATCACCCATCAACACTTACTGCTTCAACTATCCAAACATGGTTACCGAGAGGTTTACAAGCACTGATATTAGTGTGATGTGATGTTGTTCTGCTGCTGCCTCGGGGAGGCGTAGGATTAAAAACACTCTGTACCATCCACATGGAAGGCATGCCAGCCTTGGCACTGAAAAAGCTGTTGAAGATCCTCCCTCCCTCCTTTTATTAGTTCCTGCTTTTCTCTCATGTCATATCATGTTAGGCTTTTACATTAGCCAAACAGAGATTAAGCTCTAATGAGGTTCTTCAGGTCGCCCCTGAAGGCAAGGTGGATAGGGAGAGGCCGAGATGCTCCTTGTTATTTAAGAAATAAATCTAAATGCTTCACTTTGTGATCACTTGAAGCACCACAGGCTACCTTTCATACAGTAAACTGCTCAATCAGATCAAAAAGAGCAAAAGGGATCCTGGAATGTAATGTGGCAGACGATTGCTGTATTTAATTTATCTTCATTGAACAAAGGTCTGAGTGACGTACATGTCTTTAGATAAGCGCCTCATCTTTGTTCTGCTATCATTGTCGTGCTCAGCAGTTGGCAGAGTAGCGTGGGTCAGCGTCGGGTTGCAGCAATAAATGTGTATGTGCATGTTTTAGTGACTATGCGAGTGGGAGTGTTAGCTCTGATTTTAAGAGAAAGTGTGGCGTGAGCAGAGTGGAATTGTTATATAACTACTGCTTATAGTCCAGCGCTGTAGAACTGATAAGATGAGGGAAGCACGGCTGTTTGATTTCCCTTAGATGAACCTTTGGCACTTATCTAAATTGTCTCTAACATTGTGCTCGAGCAATATATATATATATATATATATATATATATATATATATATATATATATCTCATTTATTTATTTTTTTTAACCTTTTTTAGACAAAATTATTAATGATTTAATATATTCGGCATAGTAAAAATAATAGTGGCATCCATACTTAAGGCCTGGAAAGCCATCCATTTGATGCTGGGCAAGAAATTGAATGTTTACAATTTAAGCTTATCTGTTTGTGCAATTAGGGGTTACTTTGTAGCTACGGCGCACATGCACTAAGCAGCTTAGTTCACACTCTGTTGACCATATCCAGCTTGAATTTACCCACTCTTGAATTGCGATTCAGCAAGGCACTTACGCCCGGACCACAGTGCCTGCGTGAACCTCTTGCTTTTTATTTTTCAGCCCTCATGTTTACAGGCTAGAGCGTGGCTCAGGTGCGGCTCAGCTGCTTGTCAGCGGTGTTCTTTCTAGAGATTTACGGTCTCGCCTGTTTTTCCCCATGTGTAGCACACGGCTCACAGCAAAAATAGACGGTTAAAATGATGTTTTTGATAGTATTTTGACATTGTATCGCATAGTTGCTGGACAGTGTTATGGAAAATGCAGTGACTCGCACAGTTTCATAAATTAATAGGCACAGTTTTTCCGTCTAAAATAAATTTAAATTGCATTCTGGCCATCGGGAAAGGCAAACTATTGTATATGTAGAAGAAGCGCTAGCAGCAGCAGGAATGCTGCTTCATTAAGGAGCTGTACTGTGGCCGGCGTTAGGGCTGGAACCAGCATGTTTTTTTTGCATTTTTCCACAAGTGAAAATCTTAATTGATTAGATTAAGTTCCTCATCTTCTCTGTTTTTTTTGTTTTTTTTAGAAAACAGCAGAATGAAAAGATCAGTGAAAGGTTCAAGCAGGAGAATCATTATGATGATGATCATTATGAAGAAACTCCATCTGGAAAGCAGTGTCACCCATCAGCCATCAGACAGGAAGAAACACACAAAGGTGAGATGAATACACATACACACACACAGACACACACACACACACACACATCAGACAAATGCACAATATGTGTTATACAAGGAGTATTTCTGTACACTGCGGTATTCTTTTCAATCTTTGAATTTACAGCAGTGACCAAAACATAATCCCCTATTCTGAATCTATTGCAGCACTAATATTAAGGACAGACAGACGAAGAAAAGAAGAGGCTGCTCATTGTGTTGAGTCAAAGGTCCAGAACCAGAAGCCCACTGGACCCAGAATCACCTCCTGCCTTCTCTTCAGACTCTCCAGAAATCTAGGCCTTGACAAGCCAGAGCCAAGACTCGAGAAGAATTTAGACCCCTGTTTGCACAGGTAAGCAAGCAAGGAAAGGAATATATTATTTCCTGAGCCAAGTATTAATGAAATTCAGTGTATTTATGAACTGCTTGCTATCTTAAATGAGTCTTGCTACTCCCTAAACTTTCCCAACAGTGGGGTGTTGGCATTTAGCTGAACAGACCAACGTCTGTGCTCAGAGTCACTGAAATCACACGTCCTCTCTAACATTTAGTCAAACAGTAACTGACCCCTGTCTGCATACTCAAGAATGTGACACAGTATCTGGAAGGGCCAGCTCTTTTGTATGAACAAGGAAGTGCACCCGCTTGTGTGACCATGAAGATTGGGCGGAACATGGTGTGATTATGTCGTTTGTTTGTCTCTCCATGAGTGAACAGCATGCACATATTTGTTGGTATGGTAACTTCACACTACGTGCCCTGGTATCCAGTCTAGGAAGATATAAAGTTCCTGTCGTCCTTTCAAGAAGCCTGACTTTATCATTAATCATCTACCAGTGGGCTGTTTTCTTTTGCAACACAGTACTTCCTCAAGGCAGCAATATAAGACAGTTGGAGGTCATTTTAGGTTAGGCTTCACTCCTGATTTAACTTTTGCTTTAGATACAATCTGATATGACTTAATTGTTTTGACATTGTGTCTGGTGGAGAAGGCATGTGCAGCACAGGTATGTGCATGTGCTGCACATTTTCCCTTGAGCATATTTGCATGCCTATATGTGACGCAGTGTGTGCACAAAACCCTTATCATTAGAGGTCATTGATCAAACTGGCTTTATTGGTTCAAGCGAGAACACACCCTTTTTTAGTGTCTACGTGCCACTTGCAGTCTTTTCATGCCATCCAACATGACCTTATATAGACAGTTTGCACTGAGTGTGACCTAGTGTGTGTGAACAGTACGCCCATGTGTGATCCATGCGCTATCATATTCAACACAAATACCTTGTAAGTGCTCTCATAAATGCTTATGAGGTGTGACTTCAGTGCACATGCTGTGAGAAAACTGTTTAGTAAACTGATAGGGAAAGAGGGACAGAGGAGAGGAATGCTGACTGTCCTGTTGATCAGCATTGCTTTGGACAGTTGTGAGACATCCATTTCCTCAAATGTTTCTCACAAAAACAGTAGAGAGCACAGGATGGCTGGGTATGTTATTAGCTTTTACTGTTAATTATATCAGCAATCACATTATCAGTTTCATAATGTTTTTAGCTGGTTGGTCCCAATGTCAATGAAGTCTTGCTGTGTCAAACCTAATTTAACAATTAAGATTCCTCAACTTTCCCAATCTCAATATGAAATATTGCACAATACACAACATCTAAAGCCAAGAGTTTACACAGGCATTCTTTCCTCTTAAACAATTTAAGTGTCCATGATATATCTCTAAAAGTGTATTTCCTGTAAACATGTAGAACAGTGCAACTTACATGATGAGTGAAAGCAAAACTTGTGTCATCTAGATGATTAACTGATAGGGAATTTCTTACTGTCTTCATTTTTGATGTGAATAACACATCCAGTAATAACAATAATAAAGCCCGCTTTTGGAAGCCTCAATTGTGCAACAAGTAAGGGATAACACCTTAATACCATGGTCATTTTATATATTTGCATGCGATTTAAAACACAATCTAAAGCTATTCACAAGCCATTCACTCCGGTTTCATTTTATGGGGGAATTTTATTTTGACATAAATAAGATACAAAGACATTAGGACATCAGCGGCGCAGTTTTCTCATAAGTGAGAGACATTCGAAGCCCCGCCACAACAGACAGATGGAAGAAAACTTTCCACCAATGCCTATGGTAACGATACAAATATAAAAAGAAGAAATTGATTTAGTTTAACCATTTTGTATGATTATATTGGACCCATGCTATTTTAGCTATAAATGTAATGTGGTCGTACATGGTCACGTAGTCAATGCTTGCACTGCAATGTGTTTCAAGGACAACACATGAGACGCTACTTCTGCTGAAAAAGAAAGTTGATAAAGAGGCTGTGATGCGCCCTGTTAACCAGACATCTTCTTCATACAAAAATCAAATATCGAGTTAAAAATCTGATTGTAGAGGTCTGCATAGTTACACTGACGCACCCTTGTGTCATTTTTAGGCGATTTGATGAAGGTAAACACAGTAAACTTTTTTTAATTTATTTTTTACTTTACATCAAAACTATTGCATATCTTTTTTTCTTTTTACGATTTTTTTAAATAAAATGCAGTTAAGTGCCTGGTGGAATCCTAATTAGTATGCCTAATGGTTTTCATGTCTTCCCTCTCTTATGTTCTGCCAGTTTAACTGAAACACAGCAGGTTGAGACTGGGAACAGCAGCTGCCAGGTAAGAATTTGCTGGAATCATAGAACACCATCTAAAAACAAATCTTAAACATATAACAAAGTAATTATCTGTGTAAACATCACAACATAAGTGAAATTGCGTGTTCTTAAAAACATCAGAATGATTATTATTTTAGGCGTTAGAAGGGACAGGGTGTGTATGCTTTTGTGTGTGTCTCCTTGGAAATCTCCTTTCTTTCAAAATAACCTGTTTGTCAAGGCCTGAATCTCTGAAATAGCTACACCATGGGAACATAAGCTTCAACAAAGCTCTGGCCTCTGCCAGCACACCATTTACAATTGAGATAGCAGGCCACTGTTGCATACTTACTGTAAAAAGAAAGCATTTTACTTCAGCATGCAAGTAATTTGCATTCATATGATATAAAGTTGGCATATGGTAAATGTTAGGCTTTAATGATAGCACTATACAAAGCTGATCTGTGGTAACAATGCAAGCATTAAAATATATAGCGGATTCCAGATGTTAGCATGAATAAATAAATCAGGATACAATATCTGTTCACTTGTATTAATTATTTTTCTCTTGACAGGTTAGTGGACAAACGTCCCCACCACACACCTCTATAAAGAAAGCCAGTGACTCTACATTATCTGAAAGGATACCATTCCCAGCCAAGAAGAAAGAAGAGGTTATCTCAGTTGTTTGCAATGAACCAGAGATTACCAGGGACTTGAGTATAACTCATAGTTTCTCAAATGGGGAGTTTGGATCACATGAGTTTAATGGCTTGTACATATTTCCATGTGGGCCACAACCAGCGAGTGATACCAGATCAGTTGTGTTAGAAGAAGATATAAAAGACCATACAGGGCTTGAGAAACATACTGATCTTGTGGAACTGTCCAACCCTACTAGAGCCATGTTGTCTTCCACTGTGGTATCAGTTCTTGCTCCTCACTGGAATGGCCGGCTAAGACGGACCAAAAGACCTGAGGTAACGGGCAATTTTGAAGCCCAGGCGAGTTTACAAGATGTGACAAACACTGCGGCAAACCGTGGCCATGAACGCTTTCAGGAGACTATAGACAGGTCATTGACAGATGGATCGCAAGCCCAATTCAGGATGCCATTTCTGGGTACCAGGAGGAATACAGTGGGCTGGTCAACAAAGAGTGGACCTGCAAGCTTGGACTATGAATCTAAGAGGAAAATAATTCAGGCTGTCTCTTTGGATGTAGACTCTGGAAGGATGGACAACAAAGAAATGTATGCAGGCGCTGTACGCCCTGTACCCACAGCTGTGTCTCCCCTCTCACTTGAACGAAATGAACAAAGGAGGAATCCACACACTGGTCATCAAGGAGGATTGTCATCTTTAAGCTCGAAACCAACAACCAGCAGGATGCTTCTGTCTTTAAGAAGATGTCACTCAAATGGCAGGAACACTAATGCTGCCTCCCCCATCCCCGAGATAAATCCTTTGCCTGTAAGCAGTTCGCCTTGTGATCAAGATGGACAATTATTCACAACACACCTTTCTCAAACCTTTCTCAACAATAATAGACAAGAGAGGTCAAAGCCTCCACGCTCTCCATCGTCCATTTCTTGTAGGACAACTGAAACTGGGCCGATAATTTCCCCATCATCCTCCAACCAAACAGAAAGGAACACATTTGAAACACGCTTCTTTTCAGCTTCACCCACGGGCAAAGACACAGAAGACACACCCTTTTCCCAACAAGCTCAAACAATGACTAGGACCCAGCCCAGTCTGTCATGTTTCAAACACACATTTCCAATTAGAGAGCCAACAGAGAGGCAAGAAAACTGCAAGTGTTCAGACCAAAGTACAAATGTATTTTTGGAGGGCTCTGCCTCTTCACCAAGACATTTCCCATATGAACGGTCTTCCCTCCTAAATATCCATTCCCTCCCTAGAAAGAGCACCCTGACAGGCACTTCCTGGTGGAAACAAGTTACCCAGGAAGGTACTTCCACTCTAACCCTCAATGATACAAGGAACATCAAAGAAAAATCAAACACACCCTTAGTTCCACCCTGGAATGATAATAGAGACTTGGCCTCTCCAAGTCCAACTGACAACAGGAGATTTAGTAGTCAAATCCCCAATAACCGAGACAACAATAACACAACAGAGTCAGTTTGCAAAGGTAACATGAACCTTCTTGTGAAAAAACAGGGAGGAACCGACAACGTCAAACAAAGAATAGCTGAGGATTCACCTGACCACGGATCAGACAGGCTTGTCAAACAGCAATATGGCTTCAATTTGAACAACAGAGAACCACAAAAGCCTTATAGTTTGCCTGATGTTTTTTCTAGTTCTAAAATTAGCAGAGCTACAGAGCAAACAATGCTGAGTCATCCTCCTAAAGACCTCAGCAGGCATGATGTAAATACTAGTTCATTTACAGCAAACGTAACTGAATTACCACCTACTTTGCCAAATCCCAAGAGCTCAAATACACCCACTGAGAGCAGCAGCAAGTACAATAATAATCATTGCACATCCAAAACCAACAGCACCCCCGCATCTTCACACAACAAGGACTCTCAAAAGTTTCCCAAACCACCTCTTTCTCTTGCTACCACCAACACTCTCAATAGTCACAGTCTTACCTCTAAAACTATCTCTGGTCGACCCCTAACCCCAAACACTAAAACTACTTCCTCCATCCACTCTCATCCAGTTGCTTCACAGACCGATATTTGTGCTTCACCATACATTGGCCATGCCACACCTCTTGGCTTTGAAAGAAGCTTTGCTTCTGTTCACAAGCCTTTCCACCCTAAAACTGTATCTAGTCTGAGTCCCACAGTCAATGTTTTCTCTAAAACAAACTACAGTCCAGTATCCACTGCTTCCACCAGCTATTCTTTTGCCACTGGCAGCCATCCTGTAGCCATAACTGCTCCCAGCACATCCCTCCTTACTCCTGCTGTAACTCCTGCTATTGCATCTTCTCCCACCACTATCACCTCTCTCTTAGCCCCACCTACCACCCCTAACATTATTAGCTCCAACGACTCAGTCACTTCCAGTCTTAAGGAGGGAAGGACATTCTCAAACAGCCCAGAAAGTGACCCAAACAAACTGCACCGTGTAGAGGGAAAGAGAGTGAGACGAGTAACATGGGAGGACTCAGTGGATCTGAAGCATTCTGAGCCTGTGACAGTTGAGAAGGCAGAGCCATTTCAAGTCCCAACGAGCTCCAGCTCCCCGCAAAGCTGCAAAGTTCCATCCATCTTTTCCTTTCACAAATCAAGCAGTCCAACCACAAACGCATCTCATCTTTGCTCTCCTTGCCCAAAAACAACCAGCATACAGGTGGTGAAAGGAGGGAAGTATCGATCCTTGTCATCTGACTCTGCTGATTTATTGTCCAGAGACCAAGAGAGGTCTAAGCAAAGACCCACTGACACTATGATCCTTGACCAGGGAAGAAGGGACGTAACCACACCCAGACAGGAGAGGACACTCTCGGTGGAGTCTGGCTCACTTCAGTGCCGTTCTTCTGCTCCTCTCTCCCTCCCTGCTGACTTTTCAAGTGGCTATAAGCTTCGCTATAGCTCCCCACCTTACTCTACTCTCATGTCTACCAGGTCAACACAGGGAGAAACTAAGACTATATTACCCAGATCACCCCTCTTCCAACAGTCTCAGTCAAATTATACCCCACATCTTTCTATGTGTACTGATTCAGTTGCAGCCATGACCTTGCCCACATCCAAACCCCCTCTGTCCCCGATCAGCCTACCCCAATCCCTACCTTTGCCTTTCCAAGTCAAAACCACCACCCATGGACGTGCAAAAGGTGGGGTTTCAGAAACTGATCAAGTCAACAATAATCACAGCAAGAGCAACAGCCAAGATTACCAGAATGGTCAGATATTACTTATCGACAACAGACTTCATGAGGCACATAGTTCCTCCTCAACATGTGTAACTGAGACTCTAGTTTACAGTGTTAAATCTAAAGTAGATACAGCTACAACTGCCCCAATGAAGACCACGCCTAAACCTTTGCAACATACCGAAAACACACAGGCTTCTATGGAGACCACGTTAAGTCAACAGTCACACAGAATGCAAAGTAAGGAAGCTGCAAGAGAACCACATAGTCATTCAGATCAGAGCTCCAGTGGAAGCAGTTCAAGCTCTAACGGAAGAGTGAAAGAGAATGCACTGGGTAAAAGCAGATTTTTTCCAGTGGAGAGCAACAATGAACAAAGTCCAAAGAGAAGCCGGTTTGCACTGAAGAAAAGTGTCAGCACACCAAACTCCAGTTTGTCAATATCACAGTCCGAAAAGGCCAGCAAGACCAAAATTGACCAGGTCTTTAACAGACTGAGACAAACATTCAGCACCAGACGGTCTGATGATGATATGTTGTTTCCATGGAAATGGAAGCGAGCCTCTCAAACACCTCCTGTTAGTGGATCAAGTGATGTCACTGATATCACTGTTGAGAATACCCAAAAGCTAGTGCAGCAAGAGCAGGATGAAGGGATGTTGCTTAAGGACAATGAGAAGGGAACAGATGCTACCAATAGATGGACAACAAAAAACAGATACACTGTCATACCACCCTCAGTTGCTGGGAGTACAATGGCAGGAGATGAGCTTTACATTTGGTCAGACAAATCAACTCCGGAAACTAACCGAGAGGAGCAAACTGCTTGTGCAGAACACATGGAAAGTCAAAACCAACCTCGTTTGACAATAACCAGCCCAACAACGCACCAATTAGACTTTTACAAAGATAACGGGACAGATTATAAAGCAATAAACCAGTTCCTCTATTGTAGAGATCCCAGTCCTTGTAGGAGCCCTAACCCCTCTGCTGACTATCCCACTCAGTTCAGGAAGTCCACATCCAGTCCCAGGAGCCCCTTCTCCCCCTTCTTCTCTCTTTCCCCTGTCTCCCCTGTCTCCCAATTTTCCTCAATGGATGTTACAGACGACAGTGTCTTCTACAGCCCAAAGCTACAGCGTCATAGAGAATCCCCCTCACCATGTGAGCCGGGAGAGGGAATCCGCCTGGGGCGTTCAAGAAGAAGCCGGGCATCCACTGGTCCTCCAAGTGCAGGTCCAGGACAGGACAAGGAACGCTTGGCATCCTCCTATGCAGACTTAAAGTATGGCATTGAGCCTGGGAGGTCGTTTTCTGTGAGTTCGGTACTGTCCAGTCGTCCTTCAGGGCCTGGGCGCATCTCCACTGGATCCAGGTTCATGAGTGTGGGTGACCTCTCTGACTCTGCATTAACATGTGGAGACACTGGCAAGGACTTGGATCAGTGGTCTATTACTCCTGATTGGACCACAGAATATGATTGCCAGCCCAGTAAGGACTGTCGACTGTCATATTTCACCAGCGACCCTGGTAAAATGAGATCCAAATCTCTTCCTCGATCACTGACGAGGCGCTTAGCGAATTGGAGCTCAGAAGACTTTCCTTCTCCACCTGTAACAACTACAACCTCAAAGTCAGCCCACCTTTGGAGCCCTAACATGAACACTTGTCAGATCGCATGGGATAAAGAAGCTCCTCAAACCCCTCCTCCAACCTCTCCCCTGTCACCAGTGTCCAGACGCATGTCAAAACCTCCCAGCCTTTCCTCCCCCACCTCCCCCAGTTCATCAGGAGCATCACAGCAAGTGGACAACCTGTCCCCCAGAGGGCTGTTGCCCTCCAAAGGTTATGTATCCAGCCTTAGTACCTTTGATGAGTCTTCAGACAGCAGCTCAGACACAACAACAGATGATGAATATTACTTAGAAACAGGTGAAGGCAAAGAAAAAGAGACAGAATTGTGAAGGCAGAACAATTGCTTTAGATCCTCCTTTCTGTGAAGTCTCTTGAACTTCATTATGTACAAGAAGAAAGATGGGCTAACATATATCATATTCTGTAAAGGGACCTACTCTGCTTGTCCCCTGTTTTTTGCCTGCATGTATTGCTTTTCAAAAGTGGTGGTTGTCAAAAAGACATTAAATGAGCAAGCATGATATTGTCAGTAAAGTGTTAAAGATAATAATGTATGTATGTACAGTATACTGTGTATAACTGCAGAACTGCAATCTGCAGTGCTTAACATTTATAGTTTTGACGGTTGCATGGCATCAGTGAGGGATGTACATCTGTGTAGTTGATTTAATGATCAAACTACTGTGTAAAGGTAGAATTTTTACACAACACTTATCTTTAGGTTTGCATTTTATCCTGCTAGTTAATAAGTGCAGAAGTAATGTTGATAAATGTGCTATCATGTAATATTGCATTGCCTGTTTTCTTCTATGATTGAAGATTGAAATGAATTGTGGTAAATGTTGTAAGCATAATGCAAATTTATTTTCTTAGTGTTGCTTTGAAAAAATGTTGTTGAAAAACTTTTTTTTTTTTTATTCTGAGGTAATATTATACAGTATGTTACAATTCAATATTTAATGTCAAACATTATAAAGTGCTTTATACAGTGCTTGCTCTTATTTGCACAGTGGCAATCTAAAGTCTTAATATATCTATTTTATAAATAAATGTAATATTTCCAGCAATAACTGTTTTTGTATTTAAGTTTGTGTTAAATATGTATTTTTGCTGTACAAGTTGGGTACACTCTGGCTGCCGATTTCATCCAGACTTAACTAGCATGGTTTCCCATCGCAGTGTTTACATGCCATCATAAGTGAAATGGTATGCTAAGTATTGGCATGACAAACAGAAGATTTGATACCTGAGGCCACATTGTAGTCTGCAGAGAGGTTTCCAATGAACAGATTATGCTATCTACTTAAGAAGTGCCAGTTGGTAGGTGTGTCTTCAACAGTTTGACATTATTCAAGTGGGTGTTCCCTTCTTGTTCTTGGCTGTGGCAACACATAAACTGTTATGGTGATGGTTAGACAAAACATCCATTAGCCTGGGTGGACTGAGTTGTTGCTGTATGTGCATGATTGCTAGTAATGTACTTTGTGTTCTTGTCCGTCTCTTAGCTGTTTGATTTTTCCTACAGAGTCATCCACATGGAAACAATACAATTGCTCCAGCCAGCAGCTTCATCAAGAGCCCTGGGTTCCCTTGGTAAAGACTTGTTAAAAATATGCTTATAAGAGAGGCCGTCAAGGGACTTATCTTGTGTTTTGAATAGTGATAAAAACCACAAGCAGCAATATTTAAGGTTCTGCTTTACCTATTCATGTATTTGGCTTGTATACTGAATGTATGTAAAGTCCACAGAAATGTTTTCTTGTGTTAAATAAAATTCTATATTTAAGGCAGACCAAATCCACAACCCAAATACATTATATACAATGCAGACCTGCAATACTTTTATTTTCCCAGATAAGATAGAGACAATTTAAATTTAAAGTTTGAAAAAAAAAAAGTAAGTTTAAATAGGTACTTTTTTTATTATTTATTTACTTTTGGTTAGAAAAAGATTTGAGGCTACTTCCATCTGTGCATCTCATTAAATATACCTGTAAAGCTGCAGTCTCTGCAGTATGGGATCTACTAAATGCACATGGCAGCAATATCAGCTTCCACGTAATAACAAACAGCCTTTTTTCTCATGGAGAGTTGCAGCACCTGGCATGATCATGGTGGCATCAAACAGCCTGGGGAGGCGATGGTTCTGTGTGTGTGTGTGTGTGTGTGTGTGTGTGTGTGTGTGTGTGTGTGTATTGTACATGTATGTGCGGGCTGTGCAGAACATATAGCAGATGCAGTTGGTCAAAGTGAAACAAAAGAGATACCAAACATAGAGAATAGCTTTGAACGGTGATTTGAAGCACAATTATAATATTATCATACATATTGGTATGGAATGTTGTCGTAGGGTTTTATTTTCAAATATTAGCAAAAATAAATGACAAATCCTTTAAGTATTGAATACACAGTAAGAAATCTATTTTAGATTTAATAATTATATCTGACTATAACATCAAAAGTGATTTTATCCTTCTGAGAAATGTGTTTAGCCTGTTAATGCTTGTTAACCACCACACTTGACAGATATATTGCTTCAAATTAAAAGATAATTTCCATTATCATGGAGAGATACAGTTTTGTGAGTGGAGCTCTTTGACCATCTAGTGGCTGCTTAGTGTAGTTGAGAAATAATATTAACTGAAAAACTCACCACCTGAGAGGATTCATTCCACACTGTTTGGGTCACGTGACCTACCATCCTGGCAATAGCTTGATTATGGAGTGAATATTGTGGGCAGCTTTTTGCAGGCAAGCTCAGATGAGATGTTAACAATCATAAACAACGCTTGATATTCAGCTTGACTTTTCCTGACTCAAAACGGTCATATAGTCTTTGCCAACTCATGCTGTTAAATAACTCCCATCAGGCGTCTCAACCACTTGCAGCGAGGAGCAAAGGTTTGAACTCTTCCGCTCTTCTCATGTCGAAACATGAAAAGCAACTCTTTTGGTTTGAACACTGTTGTCGGGAGGTGCTGCATGCGTTTTTATTAAAGAGATACTAACTCACAGTGCAGGTCTTTGCTTTTCTTTCCTTTGTAGTGTAGTTATTCACTCGGTCATTTCTTTAATTTCATTTATAAAATACAGGGGACATAAACAAAGTTGTGCATTCATGTATTCTTTATTCAACTCATGTTGCATGGAGAATAAAGGAACTAAAATACTACAATCACACCTACAACTACTGTTTATCCTTGAAGAACCTGTTGAAGGCGTCACTCTTCATGTGTTTTCTGTACAAAGAAAACATGTTATACAATCAGATTTCTTTTTTATTAAAGTTACTCACTCTGCTTTGCATGATTCCAAAATAATTACTGATTAAAAGTTGCATTATTCTTAATGATTACTGACCTGAGCACCAATGTCACGGCTCTTCGCTCTTAGCTTGTTGACCTGAGACTCTGCGATGTCGGCCCTCTCCTCTGCTTCCTCCAGCTCGTGCTGTAACTTGCGCAACTTGCCCAGATTTACATTGGACTGTTCCTCCTAAACAAATCAAGATGAGAGTATGGGAAATTGTGATTGAGGTGAGACTCCTAAAGAGGCAAATGGACCACATTTCAGTAAATAAAGGAGTAGTATTTTCGCTTACAGCCTCCTCTGCATTTCGCTTGTAGGATTTAACTTTCAGCTGCAGCTTATCCACCAGGTCCTGCAGACGACTCAGATTCTTTTTGTCTTCCTCCGTCTGTTGAATCAGTACATAAGACATATTGCTTGTTAAAGCATATAACCTTTCATCTTTTGGTAGATGTTTATCATCATTGTGTCTGTAGCGCGTACCTGGTAGGTGAGCTCTTTGATGCGCCTCTCGTACTTACGCATACCTTTCACTGCGTCACTGCTTTTCTTTTGCTCCGTGTCCACCTCATTTTCCAACTCTCTCACCTTGAAAAGAGCAGTTATGGATGGAGTTTTATTGTATTGTAAGCTGGTGCTGTGAGGTGGAAGTTAGAAATACTCACCCTGGCCTCCAGCTTCTGGATCTGCTTCTTGCCACCTTTCATGGCTATTTGCTCAGCTTCATCCAGACGGTGCTGCAGGTCTTTGATGGTTTGTTCCATGTTTTTCTTCATGCGCTCCAGGTGAGAACTGGTGTCCTGTTCCTTCTTTAGCTCCTCTGCCATCATGGCAGCATCAGTAATGGCCTTCTTTGCCTTCTCCTCTGCATTTCTGCACTCCTGCACCGCCTCCTCCGCCTCATTCTGAAGCTGAGCTGTGTCGGCCTCAAGCTTCTTCTTCTGGTTCAGCAGGCTGGTGTTCTGCACAGAATCATAGTTTCACACTGGTCACTTTTAAACTAAAAGATAAAATAAATTAAAAGAAGTGTGCAACTTAAATATACTGAAATACCATGACATAAGGATTTGAAATACCTGCGAGTGCAGCAGCTGAACCCTCTCACTGACATCCAGCAGCTCCTGCTCAGCCAGCTTACGAGCTCTCTCGGACTGCTCCACCACAGACCTCAGCTCATCAAGCTCAGCCTGCAGCAGGTTGTTACGTCTCTCCATAATGGCAATGTTCTCCTTCAGATCATCATTGGCACGGAGAGCATCATCCAGCTGCAGCTGCGCGTCCTATTCACAAAGATTTTCTTTTTATTTAAAATTGAAATCCTTTATTTCCACCATTAAAAGAAGAAAGAAAACATGTATAGCCTCTATAGTACCTTCAGGTGAGCATGGACTCCCTTGAGCTGCTTCTGGGCCTCGGCTGCCTGTCTGTTGGCCAAGCTCAGCTGGATCTCCATCTCATTGAGGTCTCCCTCCATCTTCTTTTTCACCCTGAGAGCCTCGTTCCTGCTGCGAGTCTCAGCCTCCAGAGAGCTCTGCAGAGTGTCCACGACCCTCTGATAGTTACGCTTGGCCTGCTCCATCTCCTCGTCCTTCTCGGCCAGCTTCCGTTCAATTTCGGCCTTCACCTGGTTGAACTCAAGCTGAGCTCGGAGGATCTTACTCTCCTCATGCTCGAGGGTGCCCTGTTAAAAGCAGTAAAGCACTGCATATCTTTTAAAGCATCAGAAAAGTAATTCCAACAAATTTAAAAAAATGGCATGTACATTTTTCCCAACATTTAATATTTTTTCACCTCAGCTTCCTCTAGAGCAGATTGTATGTCAGCCTTCTCCTGCTCCAGCTGTTTACGGATCTTTTCCAGCTCGTGGATGCTCTTTCCTCCCTCACCAAGTTGCTCAGTCAGGTCAGAAACTTCCTCTGTTTTGTGTATATTCATTTATTTTACTATTTGCCCAACCTGTCCACTTTATTCACTGTATGTTTAAAGGGACATCGTGTTTTGTTTTGTTTTCCTACCTTGGAGATTCTTGTTTTCTCGTTTCATGGTCTCCAGGTGGTCTAGAGATTCTTCATAAGAGTTTTTCAGTTTGAAGATCTCAGTGCTGAGGGAGCGAGCCTCTTTCTGGGCAACTTCCAGCTCAGTCTGGGATTCCTCATACTTCTGCTTCCACTCAGCCAGGACCTAATTGAATTGTATATTAAATGATGGTATGTTATTAAATTATACAAACACTCAATTTATACATTCAGAATTTCATTCTGTACTTAAGTGCACATATCTGCAATGAGTCCCTGTCATTTTATGTCATTACTTTGTCAAAGTTTCTTTGTTTCTTGTCCAGAGCTGCAGCAGCGGCATTCGATCTCTCCACATCCACCATGAGGTCCTCAATCTCAGCCTGAAGCCTGTGCTTGGTTTTCTCCAGGGAGGAACCTTTAGCATTAGCAGCTTCAACCGCTTCTTCTGCATCCTGTAAGCGTTGAGCTAGCTTTTTCCTAATAGCAAAAATGAAAGTATCAAATTATTACCTCTCAGATAAAATGGGAATATCACAGCCAAATTTAGGTACTGTCTCGAGATAGGTCTACTGAATTCTTACTTTGCTTCTTCCAGCTCCTCTGTTCTCTGGATGGCATCAGTTTCGTACTTGGTCCTCCACTGAGCCACCTCAAAGTTTGCCTTGGACATGCCGCGTTGGAGCTCGGCTTTGGCCTCCTGCTCCTCCTCAAATTGCTCCCTCAACAAATCACAGTCATGG